GGAAAGAGAGGGAAAGGGCAAATGATTTTGTACCAAAACAGTGACACGTGTGGCTTACTTGTGGAGTGCCATTTATTATTGAAAGGAATGGAAGGTCCTAAAGTGTAGGATTTTATTTATATTTATGTATCTAGGTGCTTCTCATGACTTCGAATTAGCTAGTGTAATGTAGTAGATCCTTGATAATAAAAAAGAAAAGAGTTGGCAGGCACAAAGGCAATAGACTTTCCATAATGCGCCAGATTTAGTGATTATTTTATAGGATTAGACACTAAAAACAAAAATAATTAGGTTTGGAGCGCCATGAAATGACCAGATTTTTAGGTCTGGCCCAGTTTGGTAGTATCGATTCCTCATATGAATTGCTCAAGTAATTAAGTTTGTTTCGTGTGATAGGATTAGTTAGGTTGGTCCAAGATTCGAGATGTAATTGATATATGCGGGTATGGTATGCTCCTCCTTTGGGAGCACAATTTACTTCTACTCCCTTAGTCAGAAAATCTATGCTCTTTCAGAAGCATAGTTTACTCTTATTCCCTCGGTCAGAAGACCAACATGGGAGGATTGTTTCGATCTGAAATTTCGGTAACCACTGAAGAATTATTAGATGTTTATTTTAAAAATAATAAAAATTTGAGGTTTTTAGCACTTAGATTTCACCATCTAAAATTTGGATCGTCTATTCAATCTCAAAATATTATTTTCTTAAGTTCACATACCGTATCATTAGAAAACTCTTTTTAATGACGTTAAACTATGGGTTGAAGAGGTTATGTCCCAGAATTTGCGAGGATTCTAAAGTTAATTCACTTTACCCAAGGGAGTAAAACGCACAGCGTACTCCCGCAGGAGTGGAATATCTTTTGGCGATTGATATTGAACTAGCCCGTTCAGTATTCGGTGTGAATCGGGGCAAAATGGGTCACCAATTCAACACGCAAGCACGTGCCATTGTGTCCGAGTTAAAGTTTAAAAACAAAAAAATAACGAGTGGGTGCTTAAGATTTGTGACTAGCACCACGTGTTTTATTTTCTTTTCCTTTTGCTAAATATTTATCTAATCGATTTTTGCTCAACATATTTAGCTCCCACGTGCGTATTCGAAGAGATATATGGAGAGAGGGAAGGGTAGGGGCGGCAACAGGTTGGGTTAGCTCCTAATCCGGTTGGACCCCAAGCCCAAACCCAAAAAAATATTATGGGACCCAGACCCATACCTGAAGTCAAGGGGCCCAGACCCTTACCCGAAGATATAATGTGGGACCTGGATCCGGACCCAGACCCGACCAAACCTAATCATACTTGCCCCAAAAATTGAAATATCTATATATTTAAACATACATAAATTTGTTAAATATATATGTGTTATTTAAATATTATAACTAAAATGTATTCTTATAGTTATATTTAAATATTATGCTTATGAGGCGGAATGTTGGACGTACAAAAAACAATATACCCATAAAATGAGTGTAGCGGAGAAGAGGATGTTGAGATGGATGAGTGACAAGACAAGAAAGGATAGAATTCGAAATGAATCTATTCGAGAGAATTTAAACGTGGCAACAATAGGCTATAAAATGAAAGAGCGCAGACTTAGGGGGGTTGGTCATGTGTGGCACCAAACAAATACAATACTTGTTAGGAGATGAGAGTTAGTTCAAGTGGAAGGACTGAAAAGGGCAATGGGCAGGCCCAAAAGGACGTGATTGGAAATGGTCCGAAAAGATATGGGGATTTATAGCCTCACTGAAGATATGACATGTAATAGAACATAATAGAGAACCAAAAATCATGCAGCTAACCCCAATTAATTGGAAAAGAGCTAAAATGATGATGATGATCTATTAAATATTATTTAAATATCAACACTATTTGGGTTGGGTCTACACAAACCCACTGAATAGTATTCGGGTCGACCCGACCTGTTAAGTACAATTTTTGAATCCATATCCAAACCCAGGTCAGGTCCAGGTCCATTGCCATCCAAGGGGTGAGGGGGGACACTGGAATATGGTACGTGTCAATACTTTCAACGTGGTGTTTGTATGCTAAGTGCAGGAACCTCCTTCGGCGCATGCAGCAATTGAATGAATGACCCGCACGTACGCAATGTTTACGCCACTTTGCCGTACAGAATTTTCGCTCCGGGGGATGTAGTTCTTTAGGCCAACGAATCTCTATGACCAGGAAAATCAAGGCTGGAGCCCACCATAGTCGAGACGTTGGGTACAGAACATGGTGCGTCAGGACTCGAGCCTTACTGCCACACAGCTGAATTGTGAAATGGATGACTATTTGGATGGTGATGACTATTTGGATGGTGCACCTATACACTGAGCATGGCTAGTAACCCTCACTTCACCCATTGTGGCGTGCTCAGAACTCATGGGTGCATATAATTGTCAAGACCTCGCAGAGGTTGGCTATATAACGTCCATTTGTATTTGAAATTCAAAAGTTGTAATATGGTTTTAATATAAGGGATTCTCAAGATTTTCTATGGAAGTCACACTCATTCTTACTCATTAGATGTTAAATTTGATGGCTTCGAGTGAAACAGTCTAAGAAATTTTTTTTTTTTTAAAACTTTGTCTATTCAATAACACTCTTACAATTATCAATTTTGAAATTTTAAAAACAAAAACGATTGTAACCTTCATATACAAAAGATATATAGTTTCTTTATAGACAATTTTATAATATAAACCCAGGTACATACTTTAGTTGGGGCATCTATGGTGCAGAGTAATAAAGTTGGGTCACGACCCTTCGAACCAATTGAGCCATGTGTGCATTATGTGTGAGTGAGGTGCGGTGCAGCGCAGACGAAGATTGAACTTGACTCTAAGGAGCCTAACTCAAGGCCGAACGGTTTAGCTAAATAGAAAATAGCTTGGCCCTTCAGTATAAAACTGTATGGCTCGTGTAAGAGCGATTTGGGCAACATAACCAAGTGGTTACTTGAGTCATTGCCTTGTAGAAGAGTGTTGTGACTCTCACTTCATAGCTTGACAGACTTGTGGCTACCCAAGAGCAGCAAATTAGTGCATAGAAAACTTGGATGGGAGACCTAAAGGCTATTTTTGTTGTACTCAAAGACATGTTCAAGAAGAACCTCAAGATATTGATCAAGGAGTTCAGTCTTATGAAGAGGACATTGAATAGATCACCAAGTTTTTCTTGAGCTGTTGTGGGTTCGAGTACTCAAGTGCAAAGTGATTGAGGGAGCGAGGAGTGTCAGGGACTTGGAAACCTTCCTCTTGAACATAGAAAAATACTTCAAGGTTGTTTATGCCCATGGATAACCTCCTCAGCAGGTCAAAGAGGCTTAATTCTCTAAAATTTCCTTTTATATGCTAAAGTTTATTTTAAGTGAATAAAATTGAATATTTCTCATTTTCTGCCTTTCTTGCTTAAACAAGAGCTTACCATAAGCTTCTATTTGCACCTGTCGTTTCTCTCTCTCTCTCTATCTCTCTCTCTCTCTCTGCTAAAACACAACTCTCTCCTCTTTCTCCTCCCTGACTTGTATCCCGAGCCACCCCTCCCTTCTCTCTCAATGTAAAACTCAACTAAGAATTTCTCATCCCATACAATTCATGACTTTACAAGATTCTCTGATCTCGAGCTAGCTTTCACCATTTTACATTTTGAAAACTGATGGACAGACGCACGCATTGATTAAGGCTATTGATGAAAACAAATATCAGGTTGTCAAATATGAAGAGCTAGAGAACGTTGTTAATCTTTGGGCCTTTACGTTATCGGAAAATGAGATTTTTTGGGAAGCTACAGCTAATGGACAAAGACGACAAAAAGAAACATAACAACAGAAATTGATACAAGAAAACTGAGTTATAACCAAAAGGAGATATGAAAACTTGTGGCAGTAAGTGGTGTTGCTCAAATGAAGAGGATGAAGATGAAGATGAAGAAGAGAAGGAAGAAGAGAAGGTGGGTTCAGAGCTTCTGTAGAGATTCCCTTTAAACAACCGCACACTACAAAAGGCAGTAGAAAGGCCAAAGCTCTCTCATATCTGAGGCTATGAACATTACAGTAAAAGGGTAGGACCCGGGGGGGGGGGGGGGGCGGGGGGGATGTTAAATGGCGGGTGTTTTTGGCAGAGAGGGCCTTAATGTTTTCGGTAGGAGAGAGAGACAATGGTTAAAGTGGAAAGGCCCTGGACCAAAGTTTTTCAGGTGGATAGTTGGAGGGAAACTTGCTACATCTGATGTCTGATGTCAGCAAGACAAAAAGGAAGAATTATTTTTCTTTCCAAAAATAAACTTAAAAGAATAAAAAGGCATTTTAGAAAATAAAGCCTTGACCTAATCAAGAGGTAACCTGGCGTGAAAAGGTAAAACTCCAATCTCAAGGTGCCTTGAATGGACAGCCAAAGACTACAATCACACCAAACTTGTGTATCTTACATACACCAAATTGTTTGGATTAGGTGGCAAACTCTTGGGTCCACGTGGGTTGGGTGGCAACCTGACTTTTGGACTAGGACTGGGACTTAAAGCCAGACCCAAGTAGGGTTGACCTGCCGGGTCTGCCGGTCGAGTTGCCCTGATTGCCAGCCCTAGCTGCACACCAGCAACAATTCAAAAGATGGGTATTCAGTATTTCATGGAATGTCAATAATTTGAACAAAACTCCAACATTTCAGATCATGGCTGGAGTGCATGATTGCTAATCAACCTTATTGAAAGCACATTAAAAGGAAAAATAATTTGAGTATTTTGCTATAGCATTTGGGCTCCCTCCAGTTTTCTAGCTCCTCCCCGACTGCCAGATGTCAACCAAAGACTTTGGGGGGTATCGACCACCCAAAGTCTATAAGAAGAACAAATTAATGGACATTGAGATGAGGAAAGGCATTTTCCAACCATCCAATGTTGGCATTGGATGGTTGAAGAAGTGCTAGCAAATTGTAGAAAACCCAAATACTTGAATAGGATACAAACCAATAAAGCATACATATAAGGGAAATATATGAAGATCAAGAACGCTCACTAATAAGTGTTGATTTAGATATAGATGCATGAAGGATTGTCAAACATCAATGACACGCTCCGGCACTAATAATAGACACTTACAATTGTTTGCACACAACCATATCTCAACGATACAAACTGGAGGCAATTTGCTGTAAATAAGTCAAGGGATGGGTTATACAAGAAATACAGACTAAAAGTGGGCTTCACAATGGTGAACATGAGTATAAACTACTGAGATAACTTGTGATTATAAAAACCATAGCGGAGCATGCGATCCAATTACTGTTTAAGAGGCCTCAAATACAGTTTGATCTGCCATTAGAGAGCCTGAAATGGACCTCAATCAGTGAGCAGCATCGTTATTTCTCGCGTAGGATGTGGCAGCTGCAAAAGGAACAAGAATCAGTCAAACGAATTAGATCAGTCAAATGGATATCAATAGCAGAAAGTATGCAAGACGCAGCATGACAATCTGTAGCCTTGTGGAATAAGACCTAAGACTATAGTAAGCGATATGAAAATCAGAGACTACTAGCTGCATTTTGCAAAATTGGAATAAACATCTATACAATAACAAGCTTGCAAAACCCAGTCTACAAGGACTGATTTTGATTTTGTCACTTAATGGGCTAATGCATGTTTCATTGTTTCAGAAGATTTATTGTTTGAATTTCATTAAGTAAATACCAGATAAGAATAAAAAGTATTCCCAATAACAGAAACGCAATTAAAGAGAATACTAAGTATGATATTTCTATGGGAAAACACCCTTCCCAGAAACTGGAAACAGGCTTCCATGATGTCCTGGTTGCCTCTAGTCCAGACCTATTCAAGTTCAGAATGTCTTAACCCATTGTAAATGTCATGGTAACCATAAGTATATATTTCCTTGCAAACAATCATATTGCCATCACTAATATCTACATATGATTGGATCAACAAGAAGTAAAGGAAAAAAAACATTGATGATTAAATGTAGGATTTGAAAGAATCAACTCTGTTCATGGCATTCAAGGTCAGATTAAACATCAAAAGCAAAAACATCCAGTAAATTTTGAATACTAAACTGACATCCAACAAATCTGACCGAAAGAAGACATAGCCTCTCAAAATTGATTCTGTGGTTTAAGAACCCAAAGGCATAAGATCAGGTTTTGCATGGTTATAGGACAATGTGAATATACAAAGATCTCATCGTCTGTACACAAAACATCCAACAAGGAGCCCCTTAACTTTTTCTTGAAGTTTGCAATGCACAAAATAAAAAATAAAATAAAATCTATGTAACTCATTTAGAAGTTTTTGACACTACGGAAACGTTCCAATCTGCAAATGGCAGTCACTGAATTCTTTTCAAAGCTTGAAATGCTTCAAAGAAGATCCATACATAACACATTTCAAATGAAGCAGTTTTAAAAACCATTCAAGAGAATTCAATCGACTCTGTGTCTCCTCAATTGATTAGCACATTTTCACTCAGTTATTTGCCGTACTCTTCTGAGAAAATATTATAATTTTGGTTTTGTTTGAATTGAACAGGAAGAATATGTCAAATACTTATAAGCGATTGAATATCGCATTATATGCTAATTCGAGGGTGGATCTCGAACACCAAGATAACAGGAAATGTATACGAGCTGTAATGTGGAAATGAGCATCTCCTAAAGTTACATGGAAATCAGCAATGGCTAGATTCAACATCAGTAAATCCATGCATGACAGTTTGGAATCAGGATAGAGAAATGGAGAGGTGTATCCAGTCCATTTGGACATAGGAAACTCCCTGCACTTTACTGTGTTAACGATTCCCATAGGTCTTCAAGTCCATTGAAAGAACATAATACCCATGTTTTAGCAAAACTGCTACATCCTCAGAAAACTTATTTGGTGGATCAATACTTTGAACAATGTGGAAGATGTCAATGGACCATCTAGTCCTATTAAGGCAATAAATCTCCTTCTGAGAGAGAATACACCAATTACACAGCCCAAAATGTCAAGCATCACCCTGGGGCTAGCTGGGTAAAACCAGTTTAAACAAATGGTTCGTCAACAAATGAGAAGGCTGCTTTTGATAACTGGAGCCTCCTCACTCTGCAGGGTTCTAAGAGAAAAACAAAATTGTGCTGAAATTCACACAGTGTTTAGTTGCATTAAATTATGGACCGAAGCTGATTCTGGACTAATTAAAAATTGGCCACTTGGAAAGTATGCCACTAAATGGAGACTCATTGGAATGGTTCAAATCATTCTAAGAAATGCAGCTAGTGTTTCAAATTTCCCCGAGTCCAATTGGGATTCCAGTAAGTCAAATGGAATGGTAGTTTGCCAGTTCTGGAGGGGTCCAGCATATCAATCAAACCACCCAAGTCCTAAAAGTGACTCAAGAGGTTTTAAGCCGGATTTCGGTGAGTCCTCAAGTTGGGAACAAGTCCAACAGGAAATAAAAGCGGGGTGGGAAATCCAACAACACCCCCACCCCCCCCTCCCCCCTCCCTCCTCCTCCTCCTCCTCCACCTCTTTCTTGTCCATGCAAAGCTCCAAAGACTCCAAACATTTGCACCTAGGCCTTATTTTGTGCCCTCTATCAGATTCATACCTTTGATTTTAAACCAAAAAAAATCCCCAAAATATCATAAATCTGAGATTTCGAATATCAAATTAAATTGGGAGCATTTGATAATCTACTACAGAGATTGGAGGCCTCAATTCACACCAATCATATATTTGGCAGGATCGACATTAAAACTTTGGGTAAGGGAAAATGGCTTTCATTTTTTTCATTTTAAATGCATATAAACAAATTTACTTCGGACTAATTTCACTAGATCTTTTGTACTTTCTTTGATCTTGTCTTTTTGTTGCATTCTCTCAAACAAATCACTAAGAATTTTTTTTAAAACCATTTCATGACTATAGATTTTTATTTATTTTTTGTTATATTTATACATGTGGGAATCTGCCAATGAGATGTTTTTGTATATTTTTTTATGCCTCTAGCATGCGTAAGAGTGTTTCAAAAGCAGTATTTCCTCCAAAAAATTTCAGTCAATCAGCACCTTTCATGTATTGATGTATAAAAAATGCAAAAGTTTAAGTAGGTGTCATCTTATACTATAGAATTTTGGTGCACCTCAAAAACCTACCGAAAGAGGTTGTTCCCTATGATAGAAAACTTTTCAATTGATCATCTTGACCTTGAGATGTATAGATGTGAAAAAAAAGGATTTCAAGTCCTAAAAATAGCGCATCTTGTAACACATTATTTAGATTATACATTTACAAGATTTTCAAGTGGTCATAGATCTCCTCGATCTACACCATTTTTTGAGCTTCAAGTCACATAACTAGGGGTGGAAATAGATCCCCAGGCCATCATAGAGGTTCCTGGAACCAAGAATTGCATCTTCTGGCAGGTGTGTGCCTTACTCTGATTATTTAAGGTTGATACCTTATATAAATCATACCCATAAAAAAAACTTTCTTCACGTATATATCTCGCATCACTTGTTGGTTTTTCAAATCAGATATGCTTTTCTGTGGGTTTTGATGCCTTTAGCATACTCAGCGTATTTCTGTAGTTACTCTCAAAAAATTCAATAAATCAATAGTTTTTCATATTTTGATGTATAAATTTTTATATGTACAAATGTGGGGATCGGTCAGTTTTCTTCTTTCAAAAAAAAAAACAAAAGAAAAAAATAATGATACCGGTAAGATGTTTTTAGTAGGTTTTTTTTGGCCTCTAGCATGCTTAGAATGCTTCCAAAGTAACATTTCCTCTCCAAAAACTAAGTAAATAAACATTTCATACATGGACGAACACATAAACATTTTTAGATATGTAATTATCTGGAAATTACTCAGTGGTTTAAAACCTGACAGTAGGTGAGTTCTGGTATGCCCATTACATAAGTTTCAGGGCTTGGGTTTTTATAGAACGTGTGCACTGTTGAAAGACTTTGTTAAGTAGGACGTAGTAGGTTAACTATAAGCAGGACATGGTATTTCAGGCTTGTCTTCATAAAGTCGTCATGGATAATATATCCATAGCTTATCATAAGATCTAGATAAAGATTTAATAACTCAGAAGAAGTAAATTTTGAATCACAAGAAATGTTAAATAATTGGAATTACCAGAATAAACCTGACAAAACTACAAAATAGGTACCGTTGATTTTTTGATTAAAAGTACCATTAAAACTAAAGAAAGATTATTTCATCAATAAATAATCAAACATTAATCCCTATTTTTGACAGATATACTAAAGGAAAAAGACGAACCCCAAATAGTTGCGATATAGCTCAGATGATAATGATGTATTAAAGGAAAAAAGAAACTATAACTATCTACATATAAGGGTATTTAAGATAGCTATAGTCCCTTTAGTTAAGTAAGGACTACGAGCATCTGTTCTAGCTTGTTTTCAGGATAAATTTTCACAATTCTTTGATAGGTATAAAAGAATTTGGCCTTCATGATGGTCCACTATATTTTAACTGCTATGTAAAATTAATGATAGCTTTAGATTATCATCCTTTATTAAAAGGATTAACTCTAACCATAGAAACTTAGGTATTAGAAGGATAAAAAAAATCTTGCAATTATATATAACACATATTATAAGATTTTAAATACATTAAATCCTAAAAATAAGTCAATTGGTACAAAAGGTTATACAAAATTATTTGAATCTAATATACACAATAATTTGATAATCCTCAAGACAAATAAAATGGAGAGATGTAAAATAACAAAAGAAATAAAAATTAAAACCTAGAACACTACATGGCAAAGAGCAACCTTTACAAAGATCCAATATAGAAACCATTGTAGAATCCCCTAAAGGTGAAGTAGATATATCTTTCAGAAACAACCTACTTGAAGAAAAAGACTTTAACTGAAGAAAATCTATATTAGATAATAACTCAAGAAAACCTATATTAGATGCCAAAAACCATAAAATAATAGGCACTAGTTATTCAGTATATAGCTCGTCTCGAATTTCAGATGAAAATTCTGTAAACGTTATTACAAAATTCTAGTTAGACAAGAACGTATTACGAATAGAATTTTATTTAAAAATAAATAAAGAAAAAAAGAAAGAAAGCTTTTAAAAAACATTCGAAGGCTCAAAGAGATCAAATTCAAGAAGAATATTATGAATTTCAGACGAAGTTACAATGTCATGTATGCTTTTAATTGGTATGGAAACTATTATATGGAACAATTATATATAAATACCATCCAAAACCCCATTAGAATATGGCCAATTAGTGAGCACCAAGTAATTGAATCTATACGCCTGCCAAATGGAAGTGGAATAATAACTCAAGAAAATAATGCATTAGCTATACTTTTCAGAGACAATACCAAAAACGAA